TCCATCTATCATCATACTATCATGCAAGAGGAGCCACACATCTATGGATCATCCAATAAAATCAGCAGACTTCTAGATGTTACTACTGCTCGGCTTAGACTCGGTTACAAGTATCTCTGGGAATTCTCATTATCTGCTGATGTAGACCTGACCAAATGTAAACTGTGTCAACAAAATTATTCGCACACCCTCCGTCACTATGTGATGGAGTGCGAAAAGATACGTGAATTTAGAGACAATTCTATAACCAATGTTCCAGCGATGTGTCAATATTTCATTCAAAATGATCTGCTACCAGAAATTTTAGCCAAATATCCCCAGTTTGCTAACTGTAGGTAGTAACTAAGTGATTGTAACCTATCCACCGCTGCCCACTGGATGGGGGGCGGTGTGCAGGACAAACATATAAATTGTGACACTAGCTCTCCACATATGTCAGTTGCTTAATTTAGAACCTGTACTTGAGGTCGATCTCGAACCCATTGTTGATGTGATGACTTATATTGAATTTTGTAACTAGCTCATCAAGATTGTAACTTGCTTAGCTAAATGAATTGTGGGGTTCAGTCCCTGAGCCCATTATGTGCCTCTGTAACCCTTTCCAATACCGCCCACAAGATGGGTATGGGGTGCATAATAAATGAACTAAACTAACTAAAAACACATATATATATATATATATATATATATATATAACGCTGCGCGTGCTAGTGGCTTTACAAGACTGTAATTACCATATTTGTATCCTCACATTCCTTATGTACATTCTTGTATATGCATAAATAAATAAAATAAATAAATAAATATAGCTGAAAAGGTGTGAGCTGAAAACTCACACCCTAGAAGTGACTCGAACCCATACTGCCAGGAGCACAATGCAACTGGAGTGTACAAGACACCTTATCCTGTACACACCAGTTGCATTGTGCTCCTGGCAGTATGGGTTCGAGTCACTTCTGGGGTGTGAGTTTTCAGTTGCATATAGTCCTGGGGACCATTCAGGCTTATTCGCATTTGTGTTCCTCACGTGTGCCCCAAAGAATGAGGTGATTTGATAAAATACCATGCCCAAGATTACCAACCGAGTGCCGGCGGGGGGATGGAAATAGCCTCGGCTACCATCCTCTTTTGTCCGGTCGTGTTGGTCGAGCAGTTAAGGGATCCTGTACACCAGCAGAGTGCTCCTGGCAGTATAAGTTCGAGTTACTTCTGGGGTGTGAGTATATATATACATATATATATATATATATATATATATATATATATATATATATATATATATATATATATATATATATATATATATGTCGTACCTAGTAGCCAGAACTCACTTCTCAGCCTACTATTCAAGGCCCGATTTGCCTAATAAGCCAAGTTTTCCTGAATTAATATATTTACTATAATTTTTTTCTTATGAAATGATAAAGCTACCCTTTTCACTATGTATGAGGTCAATTTTTTTTTATTGGAGTTAAAATTAACGTAGATATATGACTGAACCTAACCAACCCTACCTAACCTAACCTAACCTATATATATAGGTAAGGTTAGGTTAGGTAGCCAAAAAAAGCTAGGTTAGGTTAGGTTAGGTAGGTTAGGTCGACGAAAAAACATTAATTCATGAAAACTTGGCTTATTAGGCAAATCGGGCCTTGCATAGTAGGCTGAGAAGTGAGTTCTGGCTACTAGGTACGACATATATATATATATATATATATATATATATATATATATATATATATATATATATATATATGTCGTACCAAGTAGCCAGAACGCACTTCTCAGCCTACTATGCAAGGCCCGATTTGCCTAATAAGCCAAGTTTTACTGAATTAATATATTTTCTTTAATTTTTTCTTATGAAATGATAAAGCTACCCATTTCATTATGTATGAGTCAATTTTTTTTTATTAGAGATAAAATTAACGTAGATATATGACCGAACCTAAACAACCCTACCTAACCTAACCTAACCTATCTTTATAGGTTAGGTTAGGCTAGGTAGCCGAAAAAGTTAGGTTAGGTCAGGTTAGGTAGGTTAGGTAGTCGAAAAGCAATTAATTCATGAATACTTGGCTTATTAGGCAAATCGGGCCTTGCATAGTAGGCTCAGAAGTGAGTTCTGGCTACTAGGTACGACATATATATATATATATATATATATGTCGTACCTAATAGCCAGAACGCACTTCTCAGCCTACTATTCAAGGCCCGATTTGCCTAATAAGCCAAGTTTTCATGAATTAATGTTTTTTCGTCTACCTAACCTACCTAACCTAACCTAAAATAACTTTTTTTTGGCTACCTAACCTAACCTTACCTATAAATATAGGTTAGGTTAGGTTAGGTAGGGTTGGTTAGGTTCGGTCATATATCTACGTTAATTTTAACTCCAATAAAAAAAAATTGACCTCATACATAGAGAAAAGGGTTGCTTTATCATTTCATAAGAAAAAAATTATAGTAAATATATTAATTCAGGAAAACTTGGCTTATTAGGCAAATCGTGCCTTGAATAGTAGGCTGAGAAGTGAGTTCTGGCTACTAGGTACGACATATATATATATATATATATATATATATATATATATATATATATATATATATATATATATATATATATATATATATATATATATATATGTCGTACCTAGTAGCCATAACTCACTTCTCAGCCTACTATTCAAGGCCCGATTTGCCTAATAAGCCAAGTTTTCCTGAATTAATATATTTACTATAATTTTTTTCTTATGAAATGATAAAGCAACCCTTTTCTCTATGTATGAGGTCAATTTTTTTTATTGGAGTTAAAATTAACGTAGATATATGACCGAACCTAACCAACCCTACCTAACCTAACCTAACCTATATTTATAGGTAAGGTTAGGTTAGGTAGCCAAAAAAAGCTAGGTTAGGTTAGGTTAGGTTGGTTAGGTAGACGAAAAAACATTAATTCATGAAAACTTGGCTTATTAGGCAAATCGCGCCTTGAATAGTAGGCTGAGAAGTGCGTTCTGGCTATTAGGTACGACATATATATATATATATATATATATATGTCGTACCAAGTAGCCAGAACGCACTTCTCAGCCTACTATGCAAGGCCCGATTTGCCTAATAAGCCAAGTTTTACTGAATTAATATATTTTCTTTAATTTTTTCTTATGAAATGATAAAGCTACCCATTTCATTATGTATGAGTCAATTTTTTTTTATTAGAGATAAAATTAACGTAGATATATGACCGAACCTAAACAACCCTACCTAACCTAACCTAACCTATCTTTATAGGTTAGGTTAGGCTAGGTAGCCGAAAAAGTTAGGTTAGGTCAGGTTAGGTAGGTTAGGTAGTCGAAAAACAATTAATTCATGAAAACTTGGCTTATTAGGCAAATCGGGCCTTGCATAGTAGGCTGAGAAGTGCGTTCTGGCTATTAGGTACGACATATATATATATATATATATATATATATATATATATATATGTCGTACCTAGTAGCCAGAACTCACTTCTCAGCCTACTATTCAAGGCCTGATTTGCCTAATAAGCCAAGTTTTCCTGAATTAATATATTTACTATAATTTTTTTCTTATGAAATGATAAAGCAACCCTTTTCTCTATGTATGAGGTCAATTTTTTTTTATTGGAGTTAAAATTAACGTAGATATATGACCGAACCTAACCAACCCTACCTAACCTAACCTAACCTATATTTATAGGTAAGGTTAGGTTAGGTAGCCAAAAAAAGCTAGGTTATGTTAGGTTAGGTAGGTTAGGTAGACGAAAAAACATTAATTCATGAAAACTTGGCTTATTAGGCAAATCGGGCCTTGAATAGTAGGCTGAGAAGTGCGTTCTGGCTATTAGGTACGACATATATATATATATATATATATATATATATATATATATATATATATATATATATATATATATATATATATATATATATATATATGTCGTACCTAATAGCCAGAACGCACTTCTCAGCCTACTATTCAAGGCCCGATTTGCCTAATAAGCCAAGTTTTCATGAATTAATATTTTTTCGTCTACCTAACCTACCTAACCTAACCTAACCTAGCTTTTTTTGGCTACCTAACCTAACCTTACCTATAAATATAGGTTAGGTTTGGTTAGGTTCGGTCATATATCTACGTTAATTTTAACTCCAATAAAAAAAAATTGACCTCATACATAGAGAAAAGGGTTGCTTTATCATTTCATAAGAAAAAAATTATAGTAAATATATTAATTCAGGAAAACTTGGCTTATTAGGCAAATCGGGCCTTGAATAGTAGGCTGAGAAGTGAGTTCTGGCTACTAGGTACGACATATATATATATATATATATATGTCGTACCTAGTAGCCAGAACTCACTTTTCAGCCTACAATGCAAGGCCCGATTTGCCTAATAAGCCAAGTTTTCATGAAATAATATATTTTCTCTAATTTTTTTTTTATGAAATGATAAAGCAACCCATTTCATTATGTAAGAGGTCAATTGTTTTTTATTGGAGTTAAAATTAACGTAGATTTGTGACCGATCCTAACCAACCCTACCTAACCTAACCTAACCTATCTTTATAGGTTAGGTTAGGTTAGGTAGCCAAAAAAGTTAGGTTAGGTTAGGTTAGGTAGGTTAGGTAGTCGAAAAGCAATTAATTCATGAATACTTGGCTTATTAGGCAAATCGGGCCTTGCATAGTAGGCTCAGAAGTGAGTTCTGGCTACTAGGTACGACATATATATATATATATATATATATATATATATATATATATATATATATATATATATATATATATATATATATATATATATATATATATATATTATACACAAACTAGAGGTGGCACCCCTATATATATTGTGTATATTTCATATCGATATCTATACATATATACATTATATGGTTCCTTATGGTGGGTTATATATATATATATTCGCACTGAGCGCCAGCAGTCTGCAGTGCCAGTAGAGGAATCGGACGAGTGAGTGAAAAGTCAAACCATCGTTCGAAATGTTTGGCGCGAAATAGACACATTATTGATTCGTTCAGACTGATGTGTTTGTTACATCTTCATAGATAAGTTAATCTCATTCTATCTTTAAATTCCTGTGTGTGAATGTCGCAAGACTCGGGAGGAAGTTTAAAAAGTGAGAAAATTGAAGTGAGTGGTACAGAATGCGAAGAATGAAGAGGAGCAGTTTGTTTACAAGCAAGATGGCGTAGAGGTAAGTACAAGATTTGATCTGAATGCGTAGATACATGTAATTTGATGGTACTAGAGTGTGTCAAGTCATTAAGTACGTTACAGCCACAAGTGTCACATCACTCTGTGTGTGTGTGGTTGGCGAGTATCATGCCTGTAACGTACCCACCTATATGTGTAGATTGGTGGGGAGGGTCTGTCATTATTTCAGGAACCTGAGGGCAAATTACTGTATAATGACATTTGTAAAGCAGTACAAGATGGTGTAGGGAGGCGGTGGTGTGATGTAGGGAGTGAGAAGTGTTATGTAGATAATTGGTGCCATTGTTTGGGTGAAGGAGAGGCGTATACCCGGGTCACACTCCCGCCGGGGGTTGCCAAGTACCTCGCAACACACTCAACACACAAGACACTCAAACTCTCACGTCATTGACTTCTACGGCAATTTATTTTCATGTGTATGATCATTGTATTTTTAGTAATATCAGTGTTTCGCGTGTTATGAGCGGCAAGGTTGTTAAGAGGATAATAAATGAGAAGGAATAGACAAAGGCGGAGTTGAGGAGCGCGACCCGTAACTAGTGTGCGATGTTGTACAGTTGGTGAGAGACCAACTGGGAGAATGAAACGCAATTCTCTCATTTACATGCGTAGTTCCCTCATTATAGAAACCCAGTTGGACAGAGACACTTAGCATGTAGCGGATAGTGCCGAGAGGCAGTCAAGATGTGAGGAACGAGACGTGGCGGAGGAGTTGGGAGGTGAAGAAAAAGGTTTTGAGTGCTGTCGTCAAGCTGAGCAAGCTCCTGCCTGTTTGGGCAATCAGCTGATTGGAACGTGTAACCATCAACGAAGCCGCGAAGTAACGTCTCTGAATGGTTGGCGTGAAGAGAAGCTCCATTTTGCGCTTATGCTGATACACCATGTCACAGAATTTTCAAACTAGCTACCAGCCTCTAGGAGGGGCGAGTGATAGAGATGGAATTACCATAGACCGAGATAATGGGGAGGGAGACGACGATCTCTCCCCAGACACACACTCAAGCATGGTGTTCCATGTTGTTCCCAAGTCCAGCAAGTCCAGGTGGAACCACTTGGAAGATCTGGACTCCTTCTTCACACGAGTTTATCAATATCATCAAAATCACGGGCTGATGTGTATGATGCTTCAGCAGATACTTGAACTGGTTCAATTTATATTTGTAATTGTATTCACCTCCTTCCTTTTTACCTGTGTAGACTACGACATTTTATTCAGAAACAAATTTCCGCCGGATATAGATTTTAATGTTACTGATAAAATAACGCTACCGGATGTTATACGCACTCACGATGAATGTATGCAACACTTCTCTTGGAGATTAGTTTTTGTCATTCTACTAGCAACAGTGTTTTGGCTTCTTCGTCTTGTCCATGCTGGCTTCACCTTCTTCCAGTTCTGGGAAATCAAGCTCTTCTTCAACAAAGCATTGGGAATTCATGACAAGGATCTTGGCAACATCACATGGGAAGAAGTGGAGCAACGTGTGATGGAAGTGCAGGTAGGAAATGTTCCTCTTTGTAATGTTATATAAATGGTTTTGCTAAACACTGCTTGAAGGGGAAATCAATATACCCAGTCATTGTATATGATCTAGTTATAATCTTAAGTAGCAGACGCTAGGTCAGATTACAATTGTCATATGGTACAAAGATCAAGTTATCGCTCTTATTCATGGAAAAGTTCGTATTAAAAAGTGGATAAATGTGATGAGGTTCACCTACTGTTATAACTTTTGTGCTAAGAACACAAAAACAACTATTGTATGATTCCAAGGATTCCACTGTTTTTGGAGTCGAGCACAGCTGCTCCAATATCCAGTTTACAGCACCAGTTTAAAATTATAGGCTATGTCGGTTGGTTCTAGTTCTGATGACACTTCAGTCACATCAGAACACATCTCAACATGGCTAAAAAGTAATGTGCCATTAAATTTGTTATATAAAATATGCCTTAATCACTGGCTCAATACTGTACAACTAAGAAATGTGTGCACATTTACACAACCTATCCTCCTGTTTAGATAGTACTTTTGTAACTATGTGCACCATAGTACAAACATTGATGTACACTACTATGCAAAGCCCAAAAAATGAAGCTATAAAACATACTTAAATATTCCTAGGCCTAGTACAGGACATACAGGTGCTAAATTAGTTCTTGAATAGCATGCATTAGGCCAAGGAAGGTTAGGTAAGGTTAGTTTAGATCTTTGCAACATAAGTAGAGAATCGTTTTCCGGTTTGTCCATACTCGATAGTGTTGATTTCTACTTTCTAATTGTATGTTGGCATATATAGTATGGTCCTCATCCTTCCTATGAGTACAGTACTACCAAAACTGGAGGATGAGCTGATTTCAATGAGTACAGTACTAGGGCTGGATTTATCAAACAGGCAAGTAGTTATGAATCTGCATATTTTTCCTCAATCTTTGTCTGCTTTCTTTACATTTATTAAACATTTGTTCCAAAACACTAGGAAGCTCCTTGTAACAATATTTGATGGGCAGTTTTGATGCTGGTAAACTGTTTAATAAATGTAAAAAAGGCTGCCAAACATTGAGAAAAGGTATACTGGTTCGTAAGTAGATGTGTAAATGCTTGATGAATCTTGGGCCCTAGTGTATGAAAGGGTATACATTATTGTATACCAGACAGGAAGCCGGTGGTTTGTTAAAGGTATCCTCATTTGTCCTGATGATCTTTTCCAGTTTAACTTTAAAATTTAAGAGTTTGGGCTTTTACGGCTTCGGTGGGTAGGTGGTTCCATGGGTTTATAACCCTGTGGGTGAGAAAGCATCTCCTATCCTCAGTCCTACATTAGGAATAGGAAGACAAGCTGCATTGGCTTGTTGAGCTTGAAACTGTTGTCCCTTGTTTGTGTTACTTCTGACCTTTGAAGAAATTTTGCAGATCAACATCCTCCAAATTGTTCAGTATTTAAAGTTTCAATGAGGTCCACACTGTCATGCCTGGTTTGCAGTGTTGTTAGCCCTGTGGCCCTCAACCGTTCCTGATACGAGAGTTGACATGGCAATGGAATGATTTTTGTTGCCCTGTGTTGCACTTTCTTCAGAGCTGCTGTGTCCTTCTGAAGATGTGGTCTCCATGCTTGGATACAGTAAACCCAGATGGTGTAAAAAAGATTTAAACAATCATACCCTTCTTTTCCTTAAAGTCAAAGATACACTTGATTATTCCAAGGGTTTGGTTAGCTTTTTTGACTGCTGCTCCTATCTGTTGTGCAACTTTCAGTTAGTGGTGGATTTTGACTCTAAGGTCCTTTTCTTCATCAATCTTCTTTAATGTACTGTTACTAATTTGATGATACCTGTAGTGGCATTGGTCGCCTGGTCGATGACCGGGCCGCGGGGATGCTAAGCCCCGAAAACACCTCGAGGTAATGGGTTGCTCTGCTCCACATGCAGGATCTTGCATTTGTCAATATTAAATAGCATTTGCTAGTCCTCTGACCATTTGTGGAGTTCATGTAGATCTCTTTGTAAGGCTTCAGTATCATCAGTATTTCCTACTTTTATCATAATTCTTTGTGTCATCTGCAAATTTGATGTGGTTTGTAATGTTCTTATCTATGTCATTGATGTATATGACAAAAAGGGTTGGCCCCAAAATGGACCCCTGTGGTACACCACTTATCACATTTCTCCAGTCAGATTCATTTCCATTTAGCACCACTCTTTGTTTTCATTGTTTTAACTATTGTTTTATCCATTCTAGTATTTTACCATTTATTCCATGTACAGTATCTGTAATTTCTTAGTCTTTCATGTGGTACCTTACCAAAGGCTTTAGCAAAATCCATGTATACTACATCAACCAGAATTCCTTTATCCTAGTAGCTGGTTACTGTTTCCAAAAATGTGAGCAGGTTTGAAAGGCAGGATCTATTTTTAACAAACACATGTTTTGTCGATTTTTCGATTGTTCACTGAAAGATGGTGGTTCCCACCTTTAGGATTATCTCCATGAGCTTGCAGATGTGTGACGTCAAATTGATCGGACAGCAGTTCTCCTTGAGCTCTTTCTGCTTTTTTTTTTAAATAGGGGTGACATGTGCGTATTTCCAATCTAGGGGGGGCAGGACTATACCTTGGTCCAGAGATTTTATGAAAAGTAATTTCAATGGTAGGCCAGGTAGGTAGGCCAGTAATTTCTTCTGCCAGTTTTTTATGACATTGAATTGGATTCCATCCACACCTGGGGCTGTTGAGTCTTTTAGTTCGTCAATGCTCTTCCTTATTATGTCGCATGCTATGGGTATACATATCCCTAAATTCATTCTCTTCACCTCCTTCAAAGTCTGTCCAGGACATCGGCAATATACTATATATGTACAGTATATAAATGATTTAGACACAGGATTGAACAGCAACATTTGCAAATTTGCAATTGATAAAAAATAGGCGTGGAAATATATTCAGAGGAGACAAAATTGCTAAAGGTGATCTAGATAAGCTTTTAAAATGTATGAAAGATTGACAGATGCAGCTTAATACTGAATAATGTAGAGTTCTGAGTGTAGATAATGATAAAACTGTCCATTTATCACCTGGACAATGTTAAAATTGCAAAATCAGAATGCAAAAAAAGATTTAGGTTGTGACTAGTAGGTGACAAAAAAAAATTGAGTTATAAATGTATGGAATACAGCAAATAAAATTCTGTGGTTAATTTCTAGGAGTGTTAGCAATATGATATCTAACGTTATTCTTCAGCTTTATCTTGCCCTTGTTAGGCCCCATTTAGATTGTGTAGTTCAATTATGGTCATCGTACTATAGAACTGACAAATTTATTTATAATAAAAATAATAATTATTCATTGTGCTTCTGACAGGATGCCAGAATAAAATTAAAATAATTTGAATGCATACAGAGAAGGATGACAAAGTTAACTCCTAGGTATTAGAAACCTCCCTTATGTGGAGAAGCTTAATTTACATTCTCTAGAAAGATGAAGAGTAAGGGGTGATGTGACTGAAGTACTATAAATGGATGAAAGGCTACAACAAAGGAGGTGTAAATACAGTTTTAAATACAGTACTGTATATCTATGCACAATGTAATAATGGATAGAAATTGAATAAGTTTTGAATCAGGAAAGACCTGGTTTGGAAATAAAGCTCTTGATTTAGGGAACAAATTACCAGGTGTTATAATACATGTGGTATTGCTGGTTTGCTTCAAACATAGGTTAGACAAATATGATATGTGAATTAGTTTGGGTGGATATTAACAGGAACTGTTTCAAACCCTGTTTAGGCCACAAGAAATGGTGGCTTATCAGATAAATTTAAGCAAAACCATGTGTTGGTAAAACCCCCCCCAAAAAAAAAAGCAAATCCATGTGACAGCTGTTAGGTTCTGTACAGTACTCTTCAGTGCTTTCATTTTAATAAGTTATGAGTTACAAGTAAGCTAAATTTACCAGTAGTAAATTTTCTGATAAAATTAATTTTTCTTGAATATTTACTTTCAGGTTGAACAGCGAATGTGCATACATAAGGAAGTTCTGACCGAGTTGGATATTTACCACAGAATTCTTCGCTTTACAAACTACTTTATTGCCATGGTCAATAAAGAAATTATTCCATTAAAATTTGAAATGCCTTTTGGTGGAGAAATGATCTTCCTCACGAAAGGCCTACGCTACAATGTTGAAATGTTATTGTTTTGGGGACCATGGGCTCCATTTAAAAACAACTGGCACTTAAGTGATGAGTATAAGCGACTAGAAAAGCGACAAGAGCTAGCCGAGGAACTTAATAAGAGGTTCCTCTATGTTGGTATTGCCAACCTTGTTTTCTTCCCTTTTGTACTAATATTTCAGATTCTCTATTCCTTTTTCTATTATGCTGAAATGATTAAACGTGAACCAGGTAGCTTGGGAAGTAGACGGTGGTCTCACTATGGAGAAGTGTACCTGCGACATTTTAATGAGTTGGATCACGAGATGACAGCACGTTTGAACAGAGGATACAAGGCTGCATCTCAATACATGAACATTTTTTCTTCTCCATTCTTTGCTATATTTGCTAAACATATTGCCTTTGCATGTGGGGCAATGTTTGCAGTCCTTGCTGGCTTAAGCATTTATGATGAAGATGTTTTGCAAGTTGAACATGTGTTGACATTTATGACTATTTTGGGGGCAATTCTTGCTGGATGTCGTGTTTTTATCCCTGATGAAAATCTTGTGTTCTGCCCAGAGATGTTGTTGAGGAGGGTTTTGGCAGAAGTGCATTACCTCCCTGACCACTGGAGGGAGAAGGCTCATACATCCAGGGTTCGCCAAGAGTTTTCACAGCTGTTCCAATACAGAGCTGTGCACATGATGGAAGAATTAATGTCACCTATTATTACTCCTCTCATTCTGATATTCAGACTTCGTTTCAAAGCTTTAGACATTGTAGATTTCTATCGCAACTTTACAGTAGAGGTTGTTGGAGTTGGGGACGTTTGTTCCTTTGCCCAAATGGATGTTCGAAGACATGGTAGCCCAACATGGCAACCACGTGTTCTGTCTGAGGACCTCAATCAACCTGACAGCTCAAGTAAACCTGGAATGACAACAGATGGTGGTAAAACCGAGCTTTCACTCATTCACTTCACGATGACTAATCCAAAATGGAAACCTCCACAAGATTCCTCTGCCTTTATTACTGCTCTAAGAACACAAGCTCAGAGAGATATGAATGCCCTAACAACCCTACAGGAGGAAAATGCTCTTTTCTCTTCATTGAACTCATTGTCATGTGATGGAGGTCTTGGTATGGCAGCTACCAGCATGTTCCGGCCTCACTGGATGATGGCTGATACTCGGGGTGGACAGCTCCAGCAGTCCTTCTGGTCACCCAGAGGCCTGCGGGGTGGGATGTCCCACGTTGAAGGTTCCCGCCATGGTCCCAGTGGTGGGGTATTAGAATCCCTCCAACAAATGGGACAGTCAGGTGTAGAGTTTCCAATAGGCACAAGTAGTGTTACTTCTGGACCTATTATTGATCCAGTTCTCGCTCCCAGTACTATAGGCCCATCATCTGTTATGGGTCCAAGTTTAACCCAACCACTGCCTCAGGATCTCACTGCTGTGGATATGAGTCTTAGCACATTGTACCTGCATGAGCTGCATCAGCGACACCGCCATCGGGCCATGTACACCGATACCCCACAAAATCCATCATCAGCATCTCGGAGGATGCCAGCCGGGACGTTCCATACGGTTCCTCTCCAGGGTCGGCCTCTACCAGATAATGGAGGTGCACCTTCAGTGTCATTCCCGCATGCACAGGAGAAGACTCCATTGTTAGCTGATCCTTGAATGAGATATAAGATAGAGAAGATTTTGTGTTGACTTTATGCTTGGTTAAGATAGCTGTAGTCATAACAGGATTTAGACTAATGACTGGCTCTGCGATAACTCAAATGCCAAACTGTTGGGCGCAGTGTTTGCCAATTTTGACAAATGGCTGCAGTACCTTCCATTTGTTAAACATGAATAAGCTAATATATTAGTCCAGCAGATTTGGTTTCTTACAATTAAGTTAGAAATAAGTTTGAATTTTTAACTTTGTGACAGCTATTTGTAAATGATATAATATGCTTGAAGAATTTTATTGTGTATAAAATGTACTATAAATAAGAATTTTGTATTTTCTTAAAGTTACATTTGATCATAATTTTTATGCATTGATATTAAAATTAGATGCGTGTGAATGGATTTTTAATTCATTGTCTGTTTTTCAGTAATGCTTTGTGAAATGGCAGTTTTCTTTGTAAATAACTTGAACAAATAAACTTGATTCTATTATAAACTGACTTTCTCATCTCCATTGCTAAATACTGCATTTATAATGTGACACTTACGTGCTGGACAATTAGAATTCCAGTGCTTGGCTTCTGTCAGTTTCTTGCATGTGCTAAAGACAATACATAATGGTACAGTACTCTGATAAACTCCTGCTACAATTATTTATTTTGCAGAGGATAGATGGAGTAAGTTAAGTGGTAGAGGTAAAAACCGTCATTAGTTTTAAAGCGTTATATGACAGAGTACTGGGAAGATGGGACACCACGAGTGTAGCTCTCGTCCTGATACACTACACTTGGATATTTACACCTAAGGAATTACACAAGACCAGGAGACATGATAGAAGTGTAAGATAGCCCCGTTGAAAAGTATGGTAGTATTGGGTACGCTAAGTGCGAATTCTATCAACATGAAAGGCCGGAGACTTTTCAATGTTTCCTCTAAATGTAAGGGTCATAACTAGCCAACCCCTCTCTCATGGTGTTCAAAACAGAACTTGATAAACACCTCCAAAGGATACTTGATGAACTGGGCTGTGATTCATTATTCAAGCTGTGAGCAGCTATGTCTTACAGCCTGGTTGACCAGACTGCCAACCAGAAGGCCAGGTCAGAGATCGGGCCACATTTTGACGTATAAATCCCCCAAGACCAAAAACTGATGTACTGAAAATCATAGCGGCTCACAAAATGCACGTAATCTGTTTTTAATTCGCGGGTCCTCGGTTAGATTAGGTTTGGTATTTATTACGTTTAGTGATGATGCGCCTGACAGCTGAGTGGACAGCGCTTCGGATTCGTAGTCCCAAGGTCCTGGGTTCGATTCCCGGTGGACGCAGAGACAAATGGGCAAAATGTTTTTCACCATGATGCCCCTGTTACCTAGCAGTAAATAGGTACCTGGGAGTTAGACAGCTGCCACGGGCTGCTTCGTGGTGGTGTGTAACAAAAAGGAGGCCTGGTCGAAGACCGGGCCACAGGGACGCTAAGCCACGAAATCATCTCGAGATAATCTCAAGATGTGAACGCTGGAGAAGAAGGGCTCGTTCAGGGCACACATTGTGTTCCTTTAACACCATCTACACCATTTAGAGGTTGACAAGGCAGCTGGCCTTGGTTATCTGGCCCCATGTACACTGCTACCAATACTACACTCATACCTCATCACTATCAATACTACAGTTCATCGCTGTTATTGATTGAAAAAAAAGTAGATACAACTCTTATTATTAATGCTACAGACGTATTTAAGTATTGATCCGGGTGACGTGTACTCCAGATCTAAAGCAAGTATTCTAAGTTTTCTAATTGTAGGTAGTGCATAATATTGTCCAAGTTCGTACTGCTTATATATAAAAATGTTACTTGTTCCTAACCATTAACATCAACCGCGCTACTGTAATTAGGCTACCACTCTTGTAACTTGTTTAGCTAATGAACTCTTGCAACAGTGTTTGCCGGCGGCCAGGCTGCATATTTTCCCTCCACCACCAACTCAATATTTAATCCGATCCCTCGATCGTCGTCGCCCCTAAATCAACAACATATATTGTATTTACATACGCAGCCTATGTTTTCACCTGCACAAGAACTTAAAAATCACTTTAAATAAAGGTATGACGAAACACTTTGTTTATACAAAATATGTATGTAATTTATGTGGTCTTTTACGCCGACGAATACGGTGTATTGCGAACATAACTCTGCCTACCTGTTTGTCTCCTCAACAAATTTCATATCAGAAACTTGGCCTAACGGGCAGAGGTTCACTGCCTCCTGACTCCATTGGCCTTTGCATTTGGGTTCAGCTTCCGCCGCCGCCCACTAGATGGGTGTTGGGTTCAGCTTCCGCCGCCGCCCACTAGATGGGTGTTGGGTTCAGCTTCCGCCGCCGCCCACTAGATGGGTGTTGGGTTCACCTTCCACAGCCGCCCACTGGATGGGTTTTGGGTTCACCTTCCACAGCCGCCCACTGGATGGGTGTTGGGTTCACCTTCCACCGCTGCCCACTAAATGGGTGTTGGGTTCACCTTCCACAGCCGCCCACTAGATGGGTGTTGGGTTCACCTTCCACCGCCGCCCACTAGATGGGTGTTGGGTTCACCTTCCACAGCCGCCCACTGATGGGTGATGGGTTCACCTTCCACAGCCGCCCACTGATGGGTGTTGGGTTCACCTTCCACAGCCGCCCACTGATGGGTGTTGGATGCATAAGTAAATTACAATTGTATATAATTAGTCGACTACAAATATAAATGTCTTAGCTGAGAGATTGTGTTCCAGCACTTGAATCCTTTGTGTGGTTAACTTTTATGCAACCTGCCACAGAATGAGGTCCTTAATAAACTAAACTAAACTGTCTGCAGCGCTCGCGGGAAGAGCCCGTGCAAACAGCTATGTATGCTCCTCCTACTTACCGGAGCGTTAGACATGAGTTGGAAGGTTGGACACCAACCCCTTCACACTTTGTCGGATTTCATCCCGCTCTGTACCGATAGAGCGGAGAGTGTTCTTGGGAAAAAACAAATGGCGGAAGAGCGAGCTCTTAGCCTGCAGACAGTCGGAAAGCTTCTGCTACTTTACCATTTACTGTAATAGTTAAGGTCTACGCTGGAGATGTTGTGGTGCAGGGTAGGGGAAGGGGACTAAGTGAATCAGTACAGAGTGAGCTACCCTATATGTGAACTCAGAGTATTACATGTTCTACACATTCCAATCACATTTTTTTTTAATTATATGATTGTAGACAAATATGGTCTAGGATGTCTTATACTGTAGGTTCATGTAATAAATCTCCACGTAAGACTACATTGTTGTTTCTCATTATAACTACCATACTATAAGAATACCTGGGGGACTAGCCTAAAACAAATTTGAAGCATTACTGCCTCCGTGAGACTCGAAATAGGAGCCCTTGATCTGCTAGGCCAATGTCATCAACACTAAAAACAATGTTGCTGACCCCCACTATGTCAAGGGTCTCCAGGCCCTTTAAGTTCAATATATATTTCATGTGCATCTTGCGGTTCCTTCCCAGTCTGGTAATTTCCCCTGCACATTACATACTTTGTTTAGCCATCCACGAACCAAACCACCCACCCTACCCAACGACTGTCTCGCAGTTTGGTAGTAAAACGAAGAGCCTTTCTCGTCTTTGCAATCTGTTGCCTTAAGACATTCGTCAACCACAGTCAATTCACTATCACAAAGTTCTTGCCGCGATACATACCCGCACCTAGCGATACAAACGAGTTGTACCCTCCGTTGCTAACAATACAAACGGATTCTAAGCTCACCTCGACTCCATAACTAATACATAAATTAAGCTTCTATAGTTTTCGGCGTGAAAGACGTACAAAGTGCCGTCATCAAAGTTAGAGCACCAGACTACTTGGCACCCACTCTGTCTGTCTCTGTGTATATGAAAGACTGAGACTCGTGTGTTAGAGGCGGAGGGTGGGTGGGAAGGAGGCCCAGGAAGTGTGGTGTGCTGCTGCACGTGTTGGCATTCTGGTGAAGGGCTTAGTCTTGTGTGTGTGTCTTGCCAATGTTGATGTTTACCCTCCGCTCTGTTAAACCCTTGTGCTCACCTGCCGGTATAAGCGGGCCGCCGCCACCAATGCCTGAACGTGTGCGTACACGTCTAGGTGTGCTTGTGCTGACTAAGCTTCAGTTCTTGTGTCCCGCCTCTCACCCATAGCTCTGGGTATAAGTTCCCCAGTCTTTAGGGCTCTTATATTTTAATTTGAAGCTGAGTATGTGTTCCGTTTTCATAGCTTGACTTCTTAGTGCATTCTATTTATTTCATACTCTGATGCTTAACATTTTTGTAATATCTTGGTGCCTCATGCGGGGGTTTCGCTACTACCTGTGGCCCCCTTGTTCGTGTAACACCGCTGCGGATAGCTGGCCTTGTCAGTTTTCCCGAGTATTTTGTTTTAAGCGATAATGTCTTCGCCGATTCTTCTCTCTTCCAGCAACTTTTGCTTTAATGTTTTAGTCTCTAACTTTTACCTGTGTGCTGTAGGTCTCGTCTGGCCACAGCCTGCATCTGGGGCTAGATTCACGACGTTACGCAAACACTTACGAACCTGTACATCTTTTCTCAATCTTTGGCGGCTTTGTTTACAATTATTAAACAGTTAATGAGCTCCGAAGCACCAGGAGGCTGTTTACAACAATAACAACAGTTGATTGGCAAGTTTTCATGCTTGTAAACTGTTTAATAAATGTAACCAAAGCCGTCAAAGATTGAGGAAAGATGTACATGTTCGTAAATACTTCCGTAACTGCTTCGTGAATCTGGCCCCTGGTCTCCTGCTTCGTGTTATTCGTGACGAGATACCCAACTCAAGCACGTGCCACATTGTTCAGAATAGGTCCAATACATGTCATATACAGTCTTGAATTCCTCCTCCTCCTTCTTTAGATTGTTTAGGTAGTTCTTATGCTTGCCAAACTTGCATATTTATGTGCATATGCAAGGTTGTGCATGTGCATCTTGCCATCTTGGTGCAATTGCGCCCCAACAATTGCATTAAGATGGTCAGAAGTTTTTTTTAATTTTCCAATCTTGATTCTACACTGTCACGAGTCGTGCCTCTTACTGCAGTATCGACATCTAGGGTCAAACTGGCATTTCCAAGCCAAATGTCCCCAGCAAGAATACTTCATACATAATGTGAATTCCTCAGTATATTTAGCCACTTTCCACTTGCCAAGTCCTTGCACAAAAAAATTATCTGGGGCCTCAGTCTTCAACGAGGCAACTGCCTGGCTTTTTTTTTCTTCACCGCGTATGACATTCCTCTTCCCCACACTATACTGTAACTGATGGCTAAATATTCCAGGTCCAGATATGTTGGATACTTGAATACGATGACCTTCGTGTGATTTATTACTATTTCAGAAGTAACTAACATATTCTTAAACCCATTAGACGTTAGATGCTCCACTGCCTCGTCTGTCTCAACTAATATGTAGGGCCGGTGAACACCTCCTTAAACAATGGATTCAATTCAACAAATTCCTTGGCCAATTGAACCATGTACTCAAATTTCTGATGAAGTTGAATTCACATGTCAAAGGAATTAACAGCCGCTTCGTTCTATTAGTCTGTCCGTCTTGCCTTGTGTGGCTGTGTTGCATCTGTCTGGCGAGGTGTTCGTGTTGAGAGTGACGGGGCATAAGAGACCATGGTCTCTTGTTAAAATTGACGAATGCATCTGGGAAGGACGCATTCATAAATTTTTACATACTATTAACTCAAAACGGGACTTTTCTCAAATATAAATTAATATTATAATATATTAGCATATTGTGCATATATAGGCATAGGTTAGGTGTTTAGGTTCTGTTGGCGATTATTTGTATTTCAACCCGTCCTCGACTCAAGTCCATTACATCTAGCGGTCGCCCCCACAGACGCATTCATAAATTTTAACTTGGTGTTCATTCAAAACAAGAATTTTCTCAAATATAAATTAATATTATAATATATTAGCATATTGTGCAAATATAGGCATAGGTTAGGTTAGGTTAGGTTAGGTGTTTAGGTTCGGTTGGCGATTATTTGCATTTGTAGTACGTGGGTGAAGCATTTATAGCAACCCGTCCTCGACTCAAGTCCATTACATCCAGCGGTCGACCCCACAGACGCATTCATAAATTTTAATATGCTGTTCATTCAAAACGGGAATTTTCTCAAGTATAAATTAATATTATAATATATTAGCATATTGTGCATATATAGGCATAGGTTAGGTTAGGTTAGGTGTTTAGGTTCTGTTGGCGATTATTTGTATTTGTAGTACGTGGGTGAAGCATTTATAGCGTTGTGATTCGAACAAAATTCGTCAGTGAAACACTTGTTCCGGATATGTTCGAACATCAGCAGTTGTGAGTCGTGTGTAAACCGCTTTTCATTCATAAACAGGGGGTTTGGCGGGTGCATGGAATCACTTTTGGATCTTTGTTTGGAGGACGGGCTGTTTATAGCGATGTAGTTCGAACAAAACTCGTCAGTGAAGCACTTGTTCCGGAAGTGTTCGAACGAAATCAGTTGTGAGTCGTGTGTAAACCGTTTTTCATTCATAAACAGGGGGTTTGGCGGTTGGCTGGAATCACTTTTGGATCTTTGTTTGGAGGACGGGCTGTTGTATTTGTAGTACGTGGGTGAAGCATTTATAGCGTTGTGGTTCGAACAAAATTCGCCAGTAAAGCACTTGTTCCGGAAACTTTCGAACGTCATCAGTTGTGAGTAGTGTGTAAACCGTTTTTCATTCATAAAGAGGGCATTTGGCGGATGCATGGAATGGATTTTGGACTTTATTTACAAGGACGGGCTGTTGTTTGAAGACCGTTTTTCATTCATAAAAAGTGGGATTGGCAGCTGGATTAACGAGCATTTGGCCTATGTTGATGAGGACGGACTGAATAACCTGGGGGTCTGAAGTTTTGAAGTTCATATGCTATTTAATGACTGTAAACAAACCCGCCGTGATAGATGAAAGATGTACGGGTCTCATAAGTGGACCAATGTTTGATGAATCCTGGGCCAGGCTAAGAGCCTTACAGCCCGTCCTCCAAACAAAGATCCAAAAGTGATTCCATGCACCCGCCAAACCCCCTGTTTATGAATGAAAAGCGGTTTACACACGACTCACAACTGCTGACGTTCGAACATATCCGGAACAAGTGCTTCACTGACGAATTTTGTTCGAATCACAACGCTATAAATGCTTCACCCACGTACTACAAATACAAATAATCGCCAACAGAACCTAAACACCTAACCTAACCTATCCTATGCCTATATATACACAATATGCTAATATATTATAATATTAATTTATACTTGCGAAAATTCCCGTTTTGAATGAACAGCATGTTAGAATTTATGAATGCGTCTGTGGGGTTGACCGCTGAATGTAATGGACTTGAGTCGAGGACGGGTTGGAGCCTTAACAAGAGAACCAGTAACCCAGCAGCAGGTGGTAGCGGTGTGGGGGTTCATTGACCTGCCGCGGTGCCGCCACGCATCCACCGCGCCTACCCTGCTACTTCTCTTCTATCTATACTCTCTTGATGGGTCCGTTTGCTGACTTTTCCTGCCCTCGCTGTTGTTGTTAATTTTGTATTGTAAGTACTGCGTAACGACTAGTTGAATGTGAGATATTAAATACGTCTATTATTTGTCTACTGTATGTATTTGTGAGCCCCTTGAGAGACAATAGACGAGGGTAGAAATAGCCTAAGCTGTTCTATCCCTTTGAGATGTATTTATCTCAATAAACTTACTTAAACTTGAAGCATTAATGGTAATTAAGGTTGGGAAGTCTATCGCACCCTGGGGAGGACTACCTTACCTTGAGGTTACTTTTGCTTTCGAAGGTTTCGAGGATCAACATCCCCCCAGGGCCCGGTCTCTGACCAGGCCTGCGATTAGTGGTATGCTCAACCAGGCTGTTGGACACAGCGTGATTTACAGGCATTACATTATCAATGCATAAATAATTAATGACTTTCTTAACATTAACAGCCCAAATTAGCCCAACTTATAAACACATAATAACCATATTTAATATTTCACATTCCAATAGTTATCACGTAGTATATTAAAATATTGTCAGCGAAACTGGTCACGCACGCTGCACCACCATGTAGTGGAATGTGAACAATTTCGTAACATTTAATGTAAATTATTGTACTGTCAGGTATCCCAAGTTTGGATGACGGTGACAGTAACCTTCCCACCACCACCACACCTGGTGACAGTAACCTTCCCACCACCACCACACCTGGTGACAGTAACCTTCCCACCACCACCACACCTGGTGACAGTAACCTTCCCACCACCACCACACCTGGTGACAGTAACCTTCCCACCACCACCACACCTGGTGACAGTAACCTTCCCACCACCACCACACCTGGTGACAGTAACCTTCCCACCACCACCACACCTGGTGACAGTAACCTTCCCACCACCACCACACCTGGTGACAGTAACCTTCCCACCACCACCACACCTGGTGAGAGTAACCTTCCCACCACCACCACACCTGGTGACAGTAACCTTCCCACCACCACCACACCTGGTGACAGTAACCTTCCCACCACCACCACACCTGGTGACAGTAACCTTCCCACCACCACCACACCTGGTGACAGTAACCTTCCCACCACCACCACACCTGGTGACAGTAACCTTC